ATATATGCCATTGGAAATTTTGGTATCAATGTACATGATCCAGGTTTTCAATAAAAGCCAGCAGCCGGCTAATCTTGCCAGGTATTTTACATCAACTCGCTGCCTAGATTTCGTAAAATTCCCCAAAATTAATGGGAAATGCAAGAAAGATTTGCTCGATGCTCCCAGCCTATTCATTACGTTTTGTCGCTTAATTAAGCTGGTATTTAAAACCTGCATGATCTTTGATGAAGCATTATCTAAGGTGTTACCTCATGAATTCCTTCACTTTCATCACCAATTAAGTCTGGTCTGAAGAGAATTTCTGGTGCTCTGAATCTTGCTGGGCCAATCTATATCACAACGCATCAAGAATACATGTAAGTATAGGAGTATATTACTGCAGTGCTGCTAAATATATCAGGCCAATAAACCCAACTTATGTGTCCTTGGAGTCTCATACGAGACTTGATAGCTCAGTGGTTAGAGCATGGCACCGCAATTACCAGGGCACAGGTTCAAATAGCCTGTGTAGTGGCCCTCTGGTAGGGAATTTCGGGAGAGAGGCTAGGGTTCAAATCCTGTTCAAGACTCAGAATTTTTAAAATAAATACTTACTAATAGTATCTATTTAGTGACTAATAGTTGCTATCACTCAACCAGAACATTCATCATACAAAGACAAATACACAAGAGACCATTTGTGTCTTTTGTATAAATGTTCTGGTTGAGTGATAGCAACTATTAGTCACTAAATAGATATTATGAGTAAGTATTTACTTTGATTTTAATTATTTCACAGTTTAATTGCATCCCTTCTATTCTTATGCTACAATGAGGCTCACTCTATGCAAATGATTCTGTAATCGAGGAACACAGTAGTATTTGACTAATTTAAAAACACCAGTGGTCTATATTCTTATACCATACCTCTATTTGACTGCCATCTGGTAGGACATACTGTCTTTTTTCACCTTCTAGCGATTCCTGTAAGGTACAACAACCATTAACACAATCATTATTCTTAAATATTTAAAATCTTATGTTTTATTTATCATTTATTTTTAATTCTGGGTTCAAATAAGTGTGATTCTCACCTCTTTTTGTGGATTCAAAGCAAGATAACAGGCATCCTAATAAAACAAAGAATTTGATTATCAGAGAAAATATTAAAAAAATCCTCCCTATTTATGAGAAGCATGGCTTAAAATAACAGCTGGTCAATGTGCCACCAGAATTGGAAGTTGTCCAGTCAATATTTGCATTGCCGAGGTCATTTTGACCTGCATTGTAATATTGTGCAAGAAATGAGGTACAACCGAGATAAAACTTATTTGGCTCGTGATCTATCAGCAACTGAACGGCTGTTATCTTAAACCCTGCAAGTTCGTAAAATATTCAAAGGGGGAGAAGGGAATGATGTAAAAATCAAGGCAYTCTATCACAACATTTTTCTTTTCCCTCACGCTTTGCTGTTACAGTAGCAAATTAGTGTGTGAATGTAGATGAGATTTAAGGCAGAACAATTCATTACAAGGATAACTTGTTTTTTCTTATGTCTAAAAAAYGACTATGACTTCTGTATTACCTCTTTTATGGTCCTAACAATTTCAAACTCTGAAGATGAATGGAAATTGTGGCCTTCTTTTCGTAGTAGCAATCGTAAATATCTTGATACATCTCTGGAGAATACATCAAACATATCATCTCTGTTAGCATTTAGATTTGAAAAGAAGTACATGTAAACTGTTATTAACAATAAAGCTTTTTCAAATTTGTTTAACACTACTGTACTCCTTCCTTAAATGTTTATTTGCTAATGRTAAGATTTATTTGTTTTAGCTACAAATTCTTGCAACTTGTTGTGCAACATAGTTGCATTGTATGTAAGTTCCAGGGTGAACAATGCTTGTATTAGAGTGAAGGCATTTAACCCGTGAAATAAAAATTATTAGTCAAYGTGTAACAGTCATAGACACAAAAGAAAACAATGGAATTAGGGTCTACTAATGTGTATTAGTCCAATATCTATTTCACGGRTTTAATGACTTCACTCTACCTGATTTGATGAATTCTGCAATTTATGATCCATCAATGTCAAGAGACAAGATACAGACATTTGTAGCTCACATATTAATATATACACCTTTAGCCACATTTTTAAAAGTAAAATATTCTGATACCAAGGTAAGAAACACCTGCTTCAAAAGGTTCTGATCAAGAAGTTATCACCACTAAAATACCTTCCTGCGATGTCAGTTCTCATGATAGAATGGGGCATTGCAAATCCTTCATAAATTGGAACAGAATGGGTAACGCCATCTCCAGCATCAAGTACCACTCCCGTTGTTCTACCTGTTGCATATCTGGCAAAATGAAGTTGGAAAGTTTAGAAGATTAAAAAAAGATCTGAGTACTTYATTATTTCTTTGTTTAACGGTTGTGCATCACTAGACACTTTTTTAAATTCTCTACTTTCACATCCCCATAATGCCTTRCGTCTTTGGGGGTAACCAATCAAAAAACTGTCCCAAATTGAAAGGTTTCTTAATTGAATTTATACTATACCTGCTTTTATCTGTACAATACTGATTATCAGTTTATTCCAAGTTGTTTTTGCATGTACAGATCATGAAGAGTTTTGGTCTTACAGAAAATGTATTGACTTACGAAAAAATGTATAAAATTTACCTTAAACATCTTCAAGCTTCTATCTTTTTTTGTTTTTTACTTCTTCATTATATATTTGGATACCAAACAAGGTATTGTCAACATTGTCTAATCAGCCTTCAGCAAAATAAGTGGGTTTTTACCCCCTGGTTACCCCCCAAAGATGCAAAGTATACTGGGGATGTGAAAGTAGAGAATGCAAAAGTAACAGACTACTTACAGACTAAGCACAGCTTGCATTGAAATGAAAAGTGCTGGAACATTGAAAGTTTCAAAAAATATCTGCAAACACAAAGGGAAAACATTATTCACCACTTGAAGTTAATCAGTACAAACATATAAGATATACCTATAATATAAAGATACATAGTTAATATTTATTCATTGTTTTCATTAATCTTTTGAAAACATCAATAGCAATTGCCCTATTTCACTATGACGTCACATCGAAACAATCTATTGTTTAAACGCAAAGGATCATGGTCATCGGAGGGGGTCAAATCAACGCAAATTCACCGAAAACTGTTCTAAAACCCGTATCAATCCACGAAGAGAAGTAGAATAGCCAGGAAACTCTCAGAATATATTTTAGTACATATCAATACATATTATATCTGAAAACCAGGCCATTTTAGATTAAACTGTTTCACTAGGAGCAAATCATGTTGAATTTTCTATTGGATTTGGCAATTCTATCCCCAACATAAACAAGCAGTGACGTCATAGTGAAATAGGGCAATTCAGGCCAGCGATTTCTGTCTCTCAAATTTAGTTCAGCAAGATATTTATGAGAAATGAGAGGAAAAAATTATTAAATTTGACAAAAAATGTTTTTAATGTTTCCAGACCTCGGCTGCTTTTTCTCTGTTCCTTCTTGGGTTCAAGGGAGCTTCTGTMAGAAGGACTGGATGCTGCAAAAATATAAAGAGGCCTTTCAGCATTAATCTTCAATAAGAAGACCCTGCATGAGCATTTGTTGGTCTAGCAACAGGGTAGAATTAATTACATACCAGGCTGGGCCTGGTTGTAAGAAGCCAGGGTAGCGCTATCCAATGGATAAATCTTATCCAGTAGATAAATTTATTGGATAACAGCATTGACTTATCCACTGGATGAGGAAATATCTGCYGGATAGCGCAATCCAGGCTTCGTACAACCGGGCCCAGACCGATGCTTAACCATCTGAGCCAACTAAAGGAATATCAACAAGTGAACTGCATTATAATTATGCGATGTTCATATTTACCTCTTCTGAAAAGGTTTGTAATTGATCTTTGGAATAAATATACTGTAAAAGACAAGGCAAAGAGTAAAAAACGTTTCACAAAAAAAGTAGAGATGGATGAATAGATTAATGAGTAGAAAATGGGTGTAAAGAGGAGAGAGGAAAAGATGGACAAGTGGATGGGGGGAGGGAGGGATGTTGGGCAAGTGAATGGGTGTAATGGTGATCAGATGTGCAAAATAGGATACGAAAGAAAAAAATATACAACCACCTTATGACTTCATTCTCTTACCTGCCAAATTCTTTCCATGTCATTCCAATCTCTTACAACACCATGCTAAAAAAAAGTACCTCAGCATTAATTAAATCACCTGAAAAGTCAAAACTYTTGATTCTATTCAGAACAACTTTTGCATCACTATGAAATAGCATGGTACATGTACACATTGTTGTAATGATAACAAATTGACAGCATCTATTGAATCAATAATGGTGCATGGAATTGCTACTCATCCAATGAAATTTTATTCAACAAATATAAAATGCTTCCCTGCTAGCAGAGTCTCTCTTCTCTTTCTCTCCCTTCTTTCAGGTGGGGAGGAAGGAGACTCTGCCGATGTAGAGTGTTTCCTTTGATACACTGCCGTCCACGATCATGGACAAACAAAACCAGTTTTAAAAMCGGTTTTTGACTSATTACATGTAGTGCGCATGAGCAAATGTAACACACTGTGGTGCCAAACATTGTTTGAYGAGAGCAGCTGTCAAAATACTGACAGCGTTGCAAAGTTACGCTACTCATGCGCAACAGAAATAACATCCTACATCAGCAGTGTCTATTTTTCTCTCTCAACCAAAACAAAAGGAAAATAGGCTCTGCTAGCAGAGAAATAAAATGCATAAAACGCATTAAAGTCAAAACACCCTTTATTACCTCCATTGGATATCTTATATTCAGTAATCCTCTGTGTTCCTGTGGACAAAACATAAAAATTAAGATTATGACATTTGAATTTTATAATRCAAGGGCTTCCTAAATATAGATTGGCTGGCACCCACACCACAATGCTTGATTAACATGCCAATGGCATAACATGAACTAAAATCTCCAAATATGATTTTGTATGAGTATATATAACACATGCTACTTTATATTCAAATTAAGGAGTAAAAACATAAAGTCTGCGCAATCACTTACCCAGTAAATAACATAGATAAAATTAGTACTTATTGGTGTTAACCCTTTCACTCCCACTGGGACCCAGCCCCAAACTGCTCCTTTTCTCCAAGGGTGTTGAAAAGGTTTGAATATTTTTCAGCTTTAATGATTCTATTGTCAATTTAACAAATAGACATCAGTTTTTTGTGTCTGTCCTCTTATTGACAATAAATTGCATCATCACRTTGTCAAAGTAGGTTGGATCCATGAGGTGTAGCCRAGTGGAGCCGCATACTACTTTGACAATGTGATGACACAATTTATCATCAATAAGAGGACAGACACATCAAAAACTGATGTCTATTTGTTTTTTACAATAACAAAAACAATGAAAACTTCTCATTTATAGCGATCAAAACAACAAACAGAAAGAGCACGCCCTCGTTGACATCAGCTTCAACTGTCTGTCCTCTTATTGATGATAAAAAATAACCAATCAGTGCGCGAGAAATTTGTAAGTTATTGTAAAATGCTAGGTTTTGATTGGTGGATATAACATAGTCACAACAGTGCTGTATGGCACTAACGGGAAAAATTTCAAGTCAAGTACTTTAAGTGTCATATGGCACTATTTTAACTTAAAGGTAAAAGAGTATAATCTGCACCACTGTACCTCAGCTTTTGGTCCGATAAATATGTCTCCTTCCAGAGCTCCAGCCATGACACGAACATGTTTTGGTCTACCAACACTATAAATTAAATGTAATCAGAGTCAATAGAGAAGGGATGGTGGGTACATATCGCAGTAGCACACTAGCCTCAGKGGTCTCTCCCTTGATTTGATGGTTATTCTTAAGTTTTCTTTCCTTCACAAACCAAACTCATTACACTAAATTCAGATTCAATCTGTGAGATAGCCATGCCCTGGCTTTGATAAGTACAGAGGTTGTTTCCAGGTTTGATAAAATTGAAGTTCTGTTGGGCACTCTCTTAGTGCACTTAATAATYTACTTGTCTACGGTAAAATAATCTTACATATTATGTAATTACACTTTAAAGGAAAAATATAGTCATAGGTTGACCATAACAATAAAATACTCAAAACTTAATAAGCATTTATTCAAAAGAAAATAATATTGATTGTGAAGCGTAAGTTTAGGGGCACTTTTTGATATTATGAATTTTAGAAGTCATAGAAAATACAAAGAAATACAAACCAGACAAGATTTCATTAAAATAAATCACGACTAAATAGCATTTATCTCAAAAAAATTTAAAACAATTTTCACACTCTACGGAAGTCATAAAAATTGAAAAAAAAAGCTGCAATATCAAAAAAGAAAAAAAAAAAAAAACTATGTAGATAAAAATTTACCTTATAAACTTCGAAAAATAAAAATAAAATTTAAAACCAGGGTAACCAAATCCTTCAGAAAAATTTCATTAAAATTCAGATAGGAGAATAACAGACGATGTAATAAAGAGAGTAATCAAGAATCAATGACTATTGGCTTCCTTGACCAAAGCAAAAATATATCAATTGATGCAAATAGAAAATTCAAAAAAATCAGAATTATTATAAGAGGATTAGCTTTTATATTAAGAATTTAAGGAATCATGCAAAGAGAGAATGCAAAAACGATGTATAAATATAAAGAGAATTATAGTATACTTGTAAAAGGAGAATATTTTTACCTATATGAGCTAGTTTACTTACTAGTTAGCGAAGTGGTATTTTGGTACTTGATCGCCGGCAAAACCAGCTTTTATAACACCAGATCCCTAAGAATTAAAATGAAAAACTTAGAAGGTATATTTGAAGGAAAGCATAACGATATATGGAGTGAATTTTTGAGTAGTTTMGATGTGAGCTGTTGTATGAGAGACCAAAAGTCAGTCATGTTTACAGAGGAAAAAAATAGAGTATTTCAGTTCTGATTGCTGTAAATTCGTTACTTACRTTATCTATGACTATCGGTTGATTAGCAATCACGTCAAAATTGTCCATTTTGGGAAGATAAAAGTGGATTTATGTTATTTTTTGTGAGACTACCATGAAGAACTAGATTTTGTGCTCCTAAAAAATGGGCAGTGATGGAAATGACACGTGACACTAATCAACCAATCACAGGTGTTCAAATAACCACTGCGACTGCGAGTCTTGGCTAGCGGCATTTACCATTAACGAATGCTCGACTGAAAAATCTTTTTAAAAAAATAACTTCTAATTCTAATTTAAGAGCTTCTTTTGTTAAAATAAAGTCATTTAGGTTCTCAATCAAATTCCTATTGATTATTTTAGGGGATTCTTTTTTTCATGTTGAAATAAAAACAAATCTTAAAGCCTGAGAAATGATAACAAAACATAGTACTTTAGGGAGGGGAGGGTAGAAAAAGTCTAACTTTGAAAATTAACATTTAGTCTCTATTTTACTAGTACTTATGGCGATTTATTATTACAATGATATTTTCAAAGGATTAAGAAAAGCAATTTGTGAATTTTTTCTAATTATCTCGTAAAAAATTGGCAAAGCGTTTGTTACAAGGGAGGGGAGGGTAAAAGAAAAATACAATATATCCCGTCCAGAGAGGGGTCAAGTCGTCACGAGAAGTCGTACAAAAATTTCAAAATGGCCGGCTGCAACGTGAAGTTAAAAGGCAATAGTGTAAACTTAATCGTGGAAATAGCTGTTCGTGTGGTCTTATTTATAATATTTCTGTAAGTTCTGTTTTTTCTCTTTAATTTTCTTTCTATTTTGAACTAATTTAATTGTTTTTAACGTTGAAAATTAATTTACAAGGCACTTGAATGTTTAATCAGCGTGAACGTGGGTAGCGTAACGTGGCTAATTCAATCAAAATTTTGTTTAGTTTTAAAACTAAAACCTTTAATTTGAAAATGAAATGATTATTTTTATTCGTAGGTATTATTTCTTTCTTTCTTCGGACTGTATTTGAGTCTAGTGTATACTTTTGCTCAAATTTTACCCGCTTGTTTTTGTAGTACAATTTTTATCTTTTGTGGTAGAAAACAATTTTCTCCAGTTTTTCTAGGAATGTCTTCTTATTTACCACTTTTTTGGTCATCTAGCTGAATAAGTAAGAGAACATACCACGGAATYCTGGTCTATCTTGGGTACAAACACCACTTTTATTTTTTCAAAATATTTCAGAATACTTGAAGATGCCAAGCCTTTTATACGAGTCATTCATGATGAGGAAATGTGGCTGTACAAGAATCCAAGGTCTGAAGACACTATACCTACCCATGCAATGTTTGTAAGTATCTGAATGCCCCC